GAGGGAAAAGATGATCGAACGATCATCTTAAAACTAAACTAATAATACTGACCGAACGGTTCTACTGTTCGGTCTTAATTTCTACCTCAACTAAATGTTCTTCTTCCAGCGCTTCTTCCAATAACTCGTCTCCTTCTTCTCACATCCACATGGATGATCATTGCAACGGAAAAAAACCGAACGTACAAAACAGACAAGACAGGAAACATAGGGTAAGCTTATGTAATTCAATTCATGTATAAACATATATTTCACACAATCAACCAAACAAGATAATTCATCACTCGTTCATGCAAAGCCTAATACTAGACTGACTGTCCGGACTGTATGAATTCTGTGTAGCTACGACGTTCGTGCACCCGGGTGATGTAGTAACTGGGGCCCCTCAACAGCTGCCACCCGAGGTTAGTCCTATCTGTCCAAATTAACTATAAGGACTAGGACATCCTACTGTTCCCACACATGACTTACCCTCCTCTACGTGAGGACGAGTAATCACGGAACATCAGGATGAACCGCCAGCTTAGCATGCCCACATTCATACTTTACAAATTCCAATATACATTCATGAGTTATTCCTCCCCGGAACGCTCATCCATAATCCAAAACATTTCATATATATCATATTCTATTCATCTTTCATTATTAATAATCTTAATTAAACCCTTCGTACAAAGATCACTAAGGATACCAAATACCGAACGTTAAACATCAACCCTGAACCGGACCGAACGCTTGGAGTGAGACCAAAGGTCTCCAGTTCCAAACGGATCAAAATCGAGAGATGGAATCATTGGTTTTAAGAAAGAGAGTGATTAACATAATATTTCTCGAGAACGATTAGCAATCAAACGTTTATTTACTAGGTGAGCCAATTGAATGAACTAACTCCCGAGTTAGACCGAACGCTAATATGCCTAGGCTGAATACTAAGACTCTAGGTTGAAACCAATTTAAGACAGACACTGTGAAAACCTCAAATATGGGTAAAGAATTGAATCAGGTGAATAAACCGAACATCAATAATATACTTAACTTTTGAATGAGTTAAACATCAAGAACAATCAGAATGTCAGTCGAAGACCGAGCACCGAAAAGGGCGAACCCTATTGAGTTTGAACGAACGTTCTTATATATATATATATATATATATATATATATATATATATTTAGAAACGAGAATGAGTACCTGGTGGAAGACCG